CTTTCCCTTGCACATGTCGATTGGTACAGTAATGTTTCCTTGAAGCCTGAGATGGTGAAATTGACAGAAGAAATTTCATTACTTTGCGTTACTGTGTAAACACGACTCCCAAATTCAAGAGAAACAATTAAAGAACAAAAGAATTTAGGCGAGATAACATGATATACCAACACTGCCATGGGTACTCTGTATGCGGTTTTCCGATATTCACGTATTACTTGAGAAATTTGAGAATGTGTTCGCCTAGGAACATAAAAAAAAACAATCAACATAATTCACAACACACAATCTCAATCATAATGAACCGTTGTTAGTTTGGAGCTAGCAGAAGCTTACGATGCGTAGTATATAGTTGGTATCTTTGTTTTCTTGTTTGCTGAAGCTTGAACTTGTTCCTGATTCCCGGGAAGAGTACCTGTCAAAGAGATAATCACAAATTGGAAAGTAGAACAATTGAACATCAATACCCAGATGAAGGAAAGATCTTTCAAAACCCATGATTAGAGACCCAAATAGGAGCAAAAGAACAAAAAGCCCTAATTTTTTTTGTTGTCTCCGCAATCCGAGCAAAATCATCAGTCCGTTTTTATCACGAACAATACTCACTTGAGGGCTGCGTTTCCGGAATAAACCCGCCTCCGTGATTCAGAGGATCGGCTAATGCCTCCGGAGCCGGTTTCGATTGAGAGGCAATGCCCAACTGGAGCCGTAATTTGTAGTTCTGATGCCATGCCAGAACCGAGCAAAGCAGCGACAGAGATTTGCCCGTACCGGTCGGCGACTCGAGCAGCGCATGGCAATGGCCTTCCCTCTGCGCGCGATCAAGCGTGGCTATGACTCGGCTCATGAACGCGAGCTGGGTTCCGTATGGCTGGTACGGGAACTCAACTTGGATGCCTCCAATTGGGTAGACATTTTTAGGGTTTCTCGAGCTAAGGCTCCGCTTGAGATCATGCTTCGGCTCCGATACGGCGGTTGTAAACACCATCTTCCCCGTCGTCCGTACAGTGGATGTGGTCAGGAATCAAAGAGAAGTAGAAGCTCGAGAGCTTCAGAGGGAAGGGAGACGGTGAAGGTAATTGGCGGGAAAATTCTGCCTCCAAGGTTTTGAGTTTTTTCATGGCGCCGAGTAAAAATCAGGTGTAACTAGAACACGAAGAGGGAGAACTCAAAACGGCATGCAACTCTCGCTGTGAGTTGAAAACGGCACGTAGTTCTTCCCTCTGCTTAAAAAATTGTACAGAATGACTTGGCATACACACTGATCTGATGGGCCTGATATATCACCTAGTTTGGGCTTTGACAGACCCAGGTAATAATAAAGCCCAAACAATGGGATTTTTGCCTATTGTCAGATTCTCAGAGATTCCTGTCTTAGTCACAACAATTTTGTCTTTGGATATCTAATTTATATTTATTAAGTCTTAGTCTGATTATACTTTTACACATTGTTCTTTAAATAAATAAGCAAGTTAGAATATAATTTCAAAGATTTGCAACATGTCTTGAATATAAAAATAATGATTAAATCATACTGAATCAAAGGCACAAAATGAGGGCTTATTCTAGTTGTGTTTCTCTCCCATTTCATGGCTATAAACGAGCACCTTACATAGGTTTATACATAACCTACTGCTCTATCAAGAACTCAAGAATTTCACAGCAACTCTTCTGCTAAACACAAACCCGAGTGAGATCTGGATCCGTACGAACAAAACTTCCACGGAGTATGCAGAATTCCGCACTCTGTATTACCTAATTCCAATGACGGAAACAAAGAGATGTTTTCTTGATCGATGAGGGAAGGAAAAGAAGTCAAAAACTCAACGAGAGTACAGTTGTTTAGTCGTTACCTGAAGGAAGAAGCCGAGGTTTGTGTCATTGATTCGCGGGTTTTAGTTCTTTGTTGACGCGTTCAAAGGCTGATATCAACGATGAACGCATGTTTGCTATTTCCACTAGAGTCTCTACAGCTGATCAAGAAAAGGGTAGGTTTCTTGTTTTGGCTACATTTATTTTGGAATTTATTTGAATTTACTCATAAGTTAGTGATGATGTACCTGTCTCGAATGATAGTTGAGAGCTACGGAGCTTTGGGGAGACGAGAGTTCCAAATACTGACAAAGATTTCTTTCGTTCTTCTTTGATCTGGGATTTGCATATATAACAGGTGAACTTGTAAGCTCACATGATGGGTTTCATGATTAGATTACTAATAATCCACTTATCAAACTTCAAAGCAAGTGGGAAGACTCTTGAAAGAGATTAATGCTTTTACCTCTTCATCAGCCATGACCGAGGCTTCATCCTGGGATGAAGGGTTGTCTACAAAAACCAACATTGGTAAGCGGGATGAGGAAAAAGACAAACAAGCCGGGGAAGGAAGAGAGACGAACTATACCTGAAATGCCTCGATGCCGTAGCTGAGGACTGCGAGGTTTGTCCTCTTTAGATGTTGGATTGGCAGAGAAGCCTTTTCCGCTACCAATGGATGCCCATTTGGACAAACTAAAATGAAGTTCCGTTCCCTTAGAGTCAACTACAAGATTTCCAAAACTTATATAAGCATTTCTCTTCGACAAGAGCCAACCTATGACGATTTAAACTATGAATTCGCTTATAAATGACGGCTAGTACTGAACTATCGATAGCTTAAAGCATATTATGGGCAGTTTATATCGAGTTACTCATGATTTCCTGACGATTGTATCGGAGAATTTGAAGCGAACAAGCCGAAAACTTTACCGTCTTCTTCAGTCACTTGAACTGTCGTAGCAGCGGGGTGAACCTTGAGGTCTAACAGAGCGCTGTTGACACGTAAAGCTCCCATTGAATGCCGGGCACTAGCTAGATCCATCCATCCCTGTAAATTGCCGGATTTAGCAAATCTCCACTCAGTGAGTTAATCGGGAGAAAAAATACATTATTAACTGGACGGGAAGGGGTTTTTTCAACGTATAGCTCCACATCCAATCCGAAATCCAAATACGTAATCTGAACAAGCTTGTGAAAGGTGTTCTCATTGCCCGGCATTTCCAAAACTAGCCAATTGATGAAAAGCTTTTACCATTACCCTCTCTCCAAGATCAATCTATAGAGACTCAGGATGCTAAACTTGAGAGCATTCAAATCTCAAACAAGGTTCCGGATTCTCAGTGAACACTTAAACAGCAACTAAGCTTGTTGTCTACTCTGAAACTACATCTAAGTTATCGAAACATTAACTTCTTTGCAACCTCAAATGGAACACGAAAAATCTCATTCAAACCCTTTAACCAGCAAGTTAAATACTTTCAAGCTAAATGAAAAAGTCGACCAAGATAGCGATCGTCTTTTCCGTTGTCTCAATCGGACGCATAAACATCAACATCTTAGCTCCAAATTCAGAAAAAAATCGTCCAAATTCTTCAGACATACAGCAGCATGAAATCCAGATCAATTTTCACGAGATTCCAGATCCCAAATGACGAGAACCGGATTCGATCGAAAAGACGGCATAACCCATAAGATTCACCACCAAATCGAGAACAAAAAACTCAGCCATTCCAATACCTGACGAAGCGTCGAATTCAGAGAATCGATAAGCGTCAAGTATCCATCCAACGAATCGAGGAACCGCAATACGTTCTCATCTCCTCGCGCCTTCTCCACTTCTTCGCCATTATTTGCAATCAGGGGTTCGTCTCCATTCTCAGAAATCTCAATTCCACCGTCACCCTCCATCGCGAATCAGCTCCAACACGGAAATTAAACAAAAAACTTCAACTTTTCTCCCAGGAGAAACAGAGGGCTTGAAGATGGCTTCGTTAGTTTCAGAAAAAAAAGATGGCTTCACCGTCGTCAACACGGTTCCTAGATAACATAAGCCGGTTCGAGTTTTTACGTTTCGGTTTAATTTCGGGTTGGTTCGGTTTATCAAAATGAAACCACGGATGGAATTGGTTCGATTTTAGTTTTAAAATCGTTTTTATTCGGTAAAATTGAATTGAACCAAACCAAAATTACAAAAAAAAAACTAAACCGAATAAAAGAAAACTAAATAAACTTTTGATATTGAATATTCAAATTATTAAATAACCAAATTGAAATTAACTATAATTGAATAAACCATACTAAACAGTTCATTCTATCTCTAGATAAAGTCATAAAACTAATATTTTTTATTTATGATTTTTAGTTTTTATAATTCTCAAATTCCGAAAAGATTTATTTGAGTTTTTATATTTTTAGTTTTTGATATTTATGTCTGAATGTATAAATGTCTATCTATCTCATATTTGAATCATATACTGTCTAAAATATCGAAAACAAAATATGAAAAAAATCATATACGAGAGATAGAGAAAACTTAACTCTATGAAATATGTCCACTCGTAACAAAGTTTATTCACGTCGAACGAACGCAAGAGTTATCATGCACAAATGGACTGCAACCTTTCTCATGTCGGCTAGTATGCACTTTAGAAACAAAAAAAAAACGTCTCGTTTCGGTTACTCCGGTTACCTGTAAAACATAACCGAAGTAAACCGGTTTGTTATCTTTTTAGTTAGTCATTGTCGTTTAACGGCCCATAGGCGGCCCATCCAAGTATCTTAACGATACACAACGAAAAAACGCAGCGTTTTGCTTGGATCACCTCAGAATCCGACCCGACATAATCGGGTCGAGTTTAGGTGGGTGTAGACCCGACCCGGCGGTATGAACTCGCAAGCTCAAGTGCCAGGCTGTGTTGTCCTCTGTGCTCAAGTTGGAGTGTGGTGGCTCCACGTTTTCTCCCAATGAATTTTCCCTTTTGGTCAACCTTTTATCCCCCATTCTTTTTTTTTTTTAAATTCCATTTTATTTTTCTTTTGTCATACTTTTTTTTTTCCCGTTTTCGTTTTCTTGTGTTCATCATCCTCTTCGTCCTTTTCTTCCTCCTCTCGATCGGAGAACAGTAACACCTCTTTGTTTGATTCAATCACGCCGAGAAGGGAGGCTATAGAGCGAAAGGTCTCTGGTGGTTTCTTCCATGGAAGACGAAGAAGTGACTAGTTCTGACGTATTTTCTCTGCTCAGTTCGATTTGATTACCGGTGCTTTTCGAGCTCTCGAGCTACAAGAAGAAACTAGGGTTCGTTTCGTTTTGCCGGAATTGAAGGGTAACGCTTTTCTTCTGTTGCTGTTTCTGGAATTCTGCTTCGGGATACTTACTTGTCGGTCCTCTTGCGGAATTTGGCGACTTTCTATTTTCGGTGGAATGGGAATTAGATTGTAGATTTTGGAATGAACCCATTGAGTTTGGGGTTAATGGGTGGAGGAAAAATCCAGAATTTGAACTGGACCAAGAGACTTTGCTAAATCTGGTTTTGCACTTTGGACAACCACCTGAATAGCGTTTTGTTCTTTGCTGAATTCGGTAAGAATCGGAGTTGCAATTTTCGAGATTGTTTGCTTTCCCTATAGTCAAATCCCTTTAACTTTTATGATTAATATTGCATTACATGAATTGGGTTTCCATATTTTAGGTTCAAAAACTTTCCAAACCCTGTATCTTCCTTTATGATGATTGGAACTCAGTTTCATTTCCTTGTTATTTCTTAATTCGGCTTCTAAGATTCGTGCCAGACTGATGATGATACGTTTCGGCTCTGTTCCAGTAGGTGAACGGGATTATCTGATGGACGGAAGCCAATCCGATGATAGCTCTCAATCTGAGAGAGGTGTGGAGCATATCTATGAAGCGTTTAAATGCCCGTTGACGAAGAAAGTGATGCTAGATCCGGTCACGTTGGAGAACGGCCGAACATTCGAGCGTGCAGCGATTGAGAAGTGGTTCGAGGAATGTAGAGAAAAGGGTCATCCTCCAACTTGCCCTATAACTTCACAAGAACTGAGTACAACAGATCTAAGCCCTAGCATTGCTTTGCGTGACACCATTGAAGAGTGGAGAGCAAGGAATGAAGCTATTAAGCTCGATATTGCCCGGCAGTCACTCTATACAGGAAATGACGAGTCCGATATCTTGCAGGCTTTGAAACACGTACGAGAAGTTTGCAGGAACAGCCGATCATATAGGCACGGTGGTCTACACAATTCCCAACTTACCCGTATGATTATCGAAATGTTAAGGAGTAGTAGTCGTAGAGTGAGGTATAAGGCTTTACAAACTCTTCAAGCAGTGGTTGAGGAAGACGATGAGAGCAAGGTTTACCTCCGATTCCTACTGTTCTCTAGCATTGTGTTTGCGTAGAAAATGTTGAATTCGATCTCGGGTACATTTTTTTTGCAGGCAATAGTAGCTGAAGGGGATACCGTCAGGACAATATTTAAGTTCTTACGTGAACCGTCAAATGGTAAGGAGGCAGCCATCTCGTTGTTGTTTGAGCTCACAAAATCGGAAGCCTTGTGCGAGAAGATCGGTTCACTCCATGGAGCGATTCTTTTGTTGATTGGCATGACAAAGAGCAAATCGGAAAGTGTTACAACTGTCGAGAAAGCTGACGGTACGTTGAAAAACTTGGCTTGCTCTGAGGAAAATGTACGGCAGATGGCTACAAATGGTAGACTTCAGCCCGTTCTAGCAAAACTCCTCGAAGGTAGCTTCACTTTCTTTCTTTACGTATTCATACAATGACATGTTATCTGCTTCGTTTCAATATAGCAAGTCTTCCTCTGCTTGATTCTTACAAAACATGCTTTTCTCAGCGTTTTGTTATTCAAAGTCCATAACCGATATGGATCGGGATTGAAAAGAAGATAAAGATCTAAACTTTTACAGAGCTTAGGAACCGGAATACAATTGTTTGTAGTATTTAATCTTCTGCTATTTCCTTTTTTCATCATTAATCGGGGGGTTACATTTTTCTCGTTACAGCATTAGCTTTACGTACGAAATTTTCAACGGCTCGTGAAACGTTATTCGCAGGTTCACCCGAAACAAAACTCTTGATGGCTTCCTTACTTGGGGAGCTTGCCTTGAACAACGAAGTGAAAGTTCAAGTGGCTCAAACTGCGGGTTCTTCTCTTATCAATCTTATGAAAACCCGTGACCTGAAACAGCGGGAAGCCGCTTTACGAGCTCTTAACAACATCTCGTCGTTCGAGGGAAGTGCCAAGGTATTGATAGAGACAGGAATCCTCCCACCGCTTATCAAAGATCTGTTTTATGTCGGGCCAAACAATCT